ATGTTCCTGAGAAGCATCTACGGTACCAGTCTATAGAGTGTGTTTTCTTTAGTGAATTACCGGTATGTTTACCGGTAATAAACTTGCACTGTTTTATGTGTATGTTTGATTACATACAGCCTTGTGACAGTTTTCCTGCATGTCATAAGCATTTGAATATAAATGAAAATGTTAAAATCAAATCTGATATTGTTTTACCTTTTATTTGGTGTGTGGAAGGTGTGCGGAAGAGGGGGTAGTCTTATACGGCGAGTATATAACAAACTCTGTATTTTGAGTGGAAATGTTAGGGGGTCGTCTTATACGCCCAGTCGTCTTATACGCCGGCAAATACGGTAGTTCTACCTGAGGTTTATTAAATGCGCGTTTAAGTCATGAAAAGTTGTGCTTTTATGACATTTAAAGCAGGAAGACAAACATTTTAAATAATATTCAAGCTAATTAGGCAACTTTCAAGAGAATTAGAAACTATTTAACTGCCATCAGCTTCTCATACACAACGCGACTGCCCTCTCAGGCGTAGCTGGAGGACCCGTGAACTGGAAACTAATTTGCTTAAGTCTCAAACACGTCAATGAACTTACACTCTGACCTAGTAATTACACTTCACTGATTATTTTCTTAAAGAATTTCTTAACTGTGAGCAAAGATTAAAGTATACAAATGCTCACTAGAGCATCACTTCTGGAAAATACTGGAAACATTAGGACAGGAGCTGAGTCAATGTCCACCAACATGGCATTAAGTCACCACACATGGTGTTTTCACGTATGTGTGCCTGGCCCAGAGCAGGCTCCCAGGGAGCATCTGCTGGGTAAACAAACATTAATGTTAACTGACCCAAAGGTGAAGCGAAAGGAAGAGGAGAGGACATAGGGAAAAGCATGGAGATGCCCATCATGGACGACCACCTCTGGGCAGTGGGACTGCGGGTGGTTTTTCTGTTGCTTTGTAATATCCTGTGTTTTGTAAACACTGTTAACTCAGCGCAGGCTCAGGAATCGCGAGCTCATTCCCCGTGTCACCTTGAATAAGCGCCGAAAGCTAAGCCTCTAGTCTTCAACTCTAACTGGAACTAATGGTACCTGTCTCACAGAGTACTTGTGAGGATGAAATAAACACTTGAAACGCATTCGGAGCACACGTGGGGCACTGTGAGACCCAGGAAGTGTTACCCAGCATCCATTACTTTCCCT